ACTGATAGCTTATGTCCTGTCTGATTTCTAGCCTTTCTGATTGTGGAAAGGAACATTTTTTTTTAGTATTTTCTTCTACCCCAGAGATCCTGAAGAGAAGAGGGCGTTCAGTTCCAGTGCTTTAGCGTATTTCTAGCGCTAGTGAATACCTGATTCTCTGAAATGTAGTTCTTAAATGAGGAGATGAAGATATGACTTGTTGATTTTGGGGTTGGGATCAGGAAGGGGTCAGGCATAGCTCAAGTCCTGGAAAAAGAAGAGGCTCTGGCTAATGCTGCAAGCCGCCATATTAACACCTTCTCAGTTGTATAGGCCTCCCTATGTATTTTTGTCTGCCTTGTAAACTAGGAGTTCCTTGGGGTAGGAAAGCTGTGTCTATCCATCTGTTTATACAAGCATTCTCGTTAGTATTTTAACACTCAGCCACTCAAATGCTGCCTGATCCCTATCTCTCCCTGACTTGGAGCGGAGCTGAGGGGGCTTGGATGGGAACACGTGCTGTTCCCAAGGTGGTGCAGCAGCTGCACTTTGTACACTGCCTCCCAGAGCTCCTGCTAAGTAGTATTTACTCTGAACCCAGTGCAGAATTATTTTTTAGGGCACAGCTGTCACTGTTGTACTATATATTCACCCAGTGTACAGATCTGCTCACAGCAGAGCGTAGTAAGAATTCTCTGTAGTGCATTGAAAGCAACGTGATACTTCCAGCCTGCCCACTTGCTTTAAGCTGGGGATATTGGAAGTCAGATGTCTGCCTTGTAGGAAATTTGTGAGGGCTGAAAATTCTCATCTCTGAAGCAGCAAATGTTCCTCTGCTTTTCTGAGAGAGGTGAAAGATGCTTGGCTTTTCAAGATGAAGCCTGTGCTTGGGCTTGATGTGGTAAAGAAACACTATTAAAATTAGATCTGTCAGTGGTACCCTGGCTTGGATTTTGTAAATCAATTGACAGGAATAGCTATACCTTGAATCTCTGCTGAACATCTCGCAGTAGCTTTGAAGGCATTTGCAACACCTAGCATCTGAAAGCAATGTTGTAATCCACAGCAAGAGAGTTAAGACTATTACAAAGATTTGATGAAATAGTTCTGTCTCAATCTTGCCCAGAGATGTTTTAAGAAAAAAATATTGGTGGTCAAATAGAAAAATGCATATTTGGCCTAGCCAGAACTGTATTTCTCTATTTTTGTTACTTCTGTTAATAGAAGAGAGACTGAGATGAGAGCAAACTAGAATTGTGTAGACAGATCTGGATTTGCAGTCTAATTCCAGGAGTTAATTAACATTCACCCTTCTTTTAAAAATATTTTTTTAAACCCTTTTAAAATAGAAACTAATCCCCAAAGATTTCACGAAAAGACAGTGAGACCTTCTCTGTTTGTGATTATATTCAGTAAAATTTTAGTAGATCAGAGATGAATTTTCAGAGGAAAATGCCAACAGATAAACACTTTGCATTCCATTCCTTTCTGCTGGATCTTCAAAAGTGGGAACAAGATAGTCTTGAATGTGCCTTGATACTTAAGAGCTGGCTGCCCTGTATCTCCATCTGTACACTGGTATTTTGTCCCCAACAATTATTGACTGTTCTCAATGTCTACATGCTGCGGGTTCACTTGAAAGTCTCGCAGAGAAGCCTGTTAGCTTCTAACTAAAATAGGTATAATTTTGTACTTTGATTTATATAGATTATACATCTAGACTTCAGTAATGTCTTCTATACAAAGCTCTACAGAACCAATCTACATAGCATGCTCTTAGCCAGTTGGAAGACGGGGGGAAGAAGTAATTCTTTCCTGATACTTATTATGGTCCTGAATTGCAGGTACAATAAACTAGACCCATCTTTTATGCTTGTGGGTCTTACTGTCTATGATGCTGGGGTAAGCTGAATTTTAGAGGTAAAGTGACATCTGTGGAGTGCTGGCCCCTGAAGTGGGAATTGGAAAGGAAGAGCCGTATGAAGGAATCCAGCCCAGAATTTGTTACCGTTGTACTTAGCTGGTGAGATGACCACAAATCCCTTTAATTTCCTTTTCAAATAAAGGAACACTGGCTGATAAGCCATGATTAAGACTGTTTCTTTATCTTTCACAGTATGGTTCTCCTGTAGCTCTTTGCCTCAGAAAGGGTGTTGCAATGGCGATAGGTAGAAATTCATATAAATCACAAATTCAAAGTTGCCCAGGACTCTGTTAGATTATTCTCATGAATACATTTTTTTGTTTAGGTAGTGTTTTCTAAAAGTGTTAGGCAGAAAATATCCCATTAGAATAACTGAAATTAGGTCACTAGTTCTAACCATCCCCTGCCTCTAAATTTGACTCTAATTCTAGGACAGCTGTTGTTACCTGATGTATCTTTATTTTAAGATATTATATTTAAATTTGAGGCTGCAAAAAGTAAAAAATGAGAGGGAAGTCAGTATGCTACAGCATCTTAAACTAGTCTTTAGACTTCTTTATCCTTTGTGTGGAAGCTCTGGTTCTCGGGGATTATTTTGTTTGAAGCATCACTGGGGAGTGAAAGCAGAGTTATATGTGTTAAATAGGAATTCCCAAATTAGGGCAGACATTTGACTTTCAGTAACTGGGTTGATGTTCAAAAACCAGTCTTTCTTCTTGATGAGCAAAAGGGGGAGTTCCCAGCAGTTGGAACCAGCTGTCTGGAGGCTGGAAGGATCAGCATCACAGTGCTAACGTTTTGTGGCAACAACTTGCATGTTTCATGAGGAGGTAAAAAGTGGTGTCTTAGAAAAGTGATGTGTGAAGATTATTTATTGAGAAATCTTTATCAAGAAGGCTCAAGCCTTGGTGTCTACCTGACTGTCAAACAGTTTATGTTAATAGAGAAAAAAGATAAATTGAGAAAGACTGAAGTGTCCGACTTGATGAATTCACATCTTACTGATTTATCTGAGTTTGGCTTTTGTTCACATTTTGCCTTTTCCTGACCTCTTATTTTAATGCAGATTTTGTTTCTTGACATATTTGGGGGACTGAGTGGGGAAGGGTCTTTCAGTAACTAAGTACATGTGGGTATGCAAATAATCCAAATTCTTTATAGGCTTCTAGATTCTGTGTACTTCACACAATGCAAATCAATGAAACGCATAGCAGCTGATGTTTGTATAATAGGGTAGGAAAACTGTATGTAATATGAATGTCTTGTTTCTACTAATCTCTTTCTATGAGGGTGCATTAAACTAGAGAATAAAATTCCATAATTGAAACTACCACGAAGTATTTCCCCCATCCCTCAATTCCTTAACAACAGAAAAATACATCAGGGAATGTCACTGCCATTATCAGTCAATTCTACTTCGTATGGGAACATTATATCTGTGCCTGTCCTTCACTCAGAAAACAGAACCCTTACCTTTTCATTAGAGATAAAAGCAGTATAGAAAGTGGTCTCTTCCAGGCAGATCAGTTCTGGGATGTTATTTACAGTGCCTAATTCCAAAGTAATCTCTGTTTTTAAGTAGTGTCCAAGTATTCCAGGTGCTGTGTTCTAGCACCTTATACTAGAGCTTGTGTACAACTCCCATTGTCAGACTACACCGTCGATTAGACTGAGCACCTTTAACAGGGTGTTAGAAAAGGTCGGGGGTTTTTCTTTATTTTCTTCTTTGTCTTTGCCAGTGGAAGAGCACAAAGAAGCAGCCAAGGGAATTGTTTTGGAAGGACTTTCTTGTTTTGAATATGTACATATTTTGAAGTGTTTTGAGGTCATATTATGAAAGGCAGGTTAAGGAATTTCACTTCACACTTGATGAGGAAAAGTGTTTGGATTTGTGTTGGGTTTTAGTTTCCTTAGGAATTTAACTTCACCGATTCAGCCTGGCTGAATTCACAGGGCAATTTTGGCTCATAAGTAGAGACATCTTTCTTTTATGTTCACTGTGCTGAAGGAACAAGGTTTTTAATGGCAGCCATTGTTGTAGTATTTTCAATTATCCTTGGGATTTTTCAGAAGGAAAGAATGTAAGGGAGTACCTAAAAATAAGAGCAAAGACCCATAGTTTATGTCCGTACCCTTTAAGTACTGAGTGTTCACAGCAGAGGACAACTCAGATGTGCTGACTAAAATTTGTCTGGTTGGTGGTATGTGAAGGCTATTCTGTTTCAGTTGGAGTTCCCTAATGGAGGCAAGTTTCTAAGTAGCTATAGTGTATCATTGTCATCCAGATACAGGCTGAGAGGGCTGTGTAAAATTGAGGTCAGGATACCATCCATTCGGAGAAGATTCAGTTCACGAGGCAACTGATGCTAACGAAGTGTGATGCCGTAGTGAATGACCAGAATTTCTGAACTGTTGCCTCAGTAGTTGGGTTTGTAGTTGAAACATTGTGGTTTCTTATTTCTAGAAGTGCTGGTCTGTCTTTGGTGTGTCAGGGCCAACAGGTTGATGATGCAGTAATCTGTCTTGGTAATGGAGCCATAGTTATATTTGGGTAAGGTTAAGCAAAATGATTTCCTATAAAGCTCACTATAAAAGAAGCAAAGCATATCCAAAGCCCCTCACACACATTCATTTTCTGTCTGGTCAATATAATAAATTAATTTGGGAAAAATGGCTTTTACGAGGAAAAATACAATAAAATCATGCAGTAAATAGTGGTTCATTAGTTTTCCACTTCTGAGTAATGTTTCTCTATATTGCTCATATATAAATAGTGATAATTATCCCCCTGAGGAGGAGATAATATGTAGCAAGGGAACCATGCGTTGGGCTTAACCTCTCACAATGGAAGTACTGACAAGTAGATGTTGTCCTGGACCTTTGCAGAAATGTGAGTTAACTCTGAGTTTGTTTAATTTCCATAAATTTTGTTGTTCCACCCGTACAGTAATAGATATAGCTAGTGTTGTATCTGTTACTGCATTTATTGCTGTATGTATTCCTCATTATAATTCTGGGCAATATCTCTGTAAGTGCTTTGTGTACAGAACGATTTATCCTGATAAGACTTTTTTTTTTTTTCCCTTTTCCCACACAGATCACCCCTGGCAGCAAGGCAGCACAGTCACAGATGAACCAAGGGGACCTTGTGGTAGCCATTGATGGAGTCAACACTGACAGCATGACCCACTTAGAAGCCCAGAACAAGATCAAGTCAGCCAGCCACAACTTGAGCCTCACTCTTCAGAAGTATGTTGATATAAGTTAAAGTCTTTGCATTCCTAAGGGCATCCTATGAAACTCGTGACCAAGGGATATAAGCGTTTTATCTCTGTTAGATTTACTTGAAGTGTTCATGGCACAGATATGAGATGGAAAGCTAAAATCTGCTCTGATTCTTGTAGAAATAAGCATGGATTCTTACAGAAGTCAGTATGATTGATATGCTGAGCGTATCTGTGTTGAATTTAGCCTATTGGATACAGGTATAATCCCATATCCATTCAAGTTTCTGTTTAAAAAAAAAAAATCCAGCAGTGATATTTCTTTTTCTTATTCCCATGTGGACAACACAGTTTTGTTTGGTTAATTTATGAATGACTATTCTCGAAATGACCATTGTAACAAGTATTATGAGTGCATGGGAAGAACCTGTCATTCACAGGGGGAATAATCACAGCAGGCTGAGAATTTGTGTTAATGATCTGGCACCTCTGAGTTTGAAAATGTCCCCTCTGCATTTGACAGAACAAGAAAGCTGTAGCCTAAGTGCAGGAAAAGAAGTCAGTAGAACACAGAGAGAGCAGACTTTCTCATAGAGATGTGATAAAAGTTGTCTTGCCACTGAGAAAGCAGAATCTCTTCACCTAACAGATTTCTTAACTTTTCTGGTTAATGTTGCTTCCAAGGAAACTTGTTCTCAAGTCAGATAGCCTTGCACAGAGGTTTTCTGTAATAGTTGCATTAATATTTAAAGCTCCATAATTATGTAAAGCAAAATAACTGCTGTTTTTATTGTGTTGTGGAGAAAATAATTTTTACGTAGGCTAGGAAAAGACTGGTACAGAAACCAGGTTGTAATGTGGAAGTACAGTTTCTGAGAATATACCAGAGTATCTCATATGTGGAGGTACAGTAGAGCTAACCAGTATCAGGAACAGAGTAACGCCTAAGGGAAGAAGATCTTTAGCTGAGGTTTCCAAGACAGAGCAGGGTACTCTAAAGCAAAATGTATGGCTGAATTTCTCACATGGCTTTGTAACTCTCAAGCTTGGCTTTAAGTGGGTGTTCCAGATAATGTATAAAGTAAGTACATGAAGTAGAAAGATGCTAACAAAATTGTGACCTATTTGTTAGCCTCTGTGAGAACACTGGGTAGACTTACGTATTTCCTGGACATGCATAACTTACGTGTTTCCTGGAAAAGAGTTTAAAATTACAGCTTTTCAGATGCTCCAGATTTTCTCAGGAAAATTCTTACCTAAGCACACTTCGAAATTTTTCTCAAAAGGTGTGGCCTAGCTGTTTCAAGGAATGCAAGAGAGGTAGGGTGATGCATGGAATAATTTCTGTCACCTCATATGATGTGCACGTGTGCCTCTAGTGTGCTTAGGTAAGATTTTTCAGCCAAAATTAAAGAGAGACCAGAAGCGTAATCCTAAAGGTACTGAAATGGGCTTTATATCAAAAGCCAGAAGAAAATGGTCTTCCAAAGTTGTTGAGCAAAGATGGGGCACTATCTGGATGCATGTAGTTGACTTCTCATCCTGTGGCCCACTCCATCTTCTTTTTGCTCCACTCTAATCAATGCTAGTGATATTATGAATATATGTATGATAACTTTTTTAAAAAAGATCTGCATTGTTCTGGATTATTTTGTATTTGAAAGTTAAGGAAAATCCTTTCTCATAATGTATTTTAGCGCTTCCGTCTGCTTTTCTATTGGATCCTTGTGTTTTTACATTGAGAGAAAACTTTTCTTATTGTGCTTTGGCTTGTTGCACATTTTGAGTTAATTTTCCTGAATATTGGACTTGAAACGTTGTCTGGTGGCTACCTCCACGGCTTGGCATTTAAAACTACAAACCATCACCTCTCCTTCCACGCAGAGGAAGGGTTCCCAAATCTGTGACTAACAAAACAGATTATTCTAATGCATATCACAGATGCAAGTAATTTTGATCAAATGGATCAGGCAGTGATATTTCACGTGAATAATTGTTGTGCTTTTGTACTTGCTGACCTCTAAATTACAACACCAACAACTCTAGTGGCCATGTCATTAAAAAAAAAATGTTTTACAGCATCCAGGACAGCTTGCTTATTGTTTAATGATTGAAGTAATTGTTAGTTTTTCTTAAAGTATTTTCCGACTGCTACAGCTTTATTTATTGTGGTATGCATTATTCTTTGTCCACATAATTCTACTGGAGGTATCATTACTTATAGCTTTCTTGCTCTATCCAGTGTTTCTTTTATTTTTTTAAGACTTGCCTTGTCTTTTGGTTCTGAAACAAATCTATGTGATTCAGATAATCAACTTATGTGGATAATGAACAGCCAAAGTAAGCAGTAATAGTGTGTTCCGCAAACTGAAATATGCTTGCATAGATAACAGATGTAGAAGAGTTAAGATACATTTTGAAAAGAAAAAAACAGCGTAAAGTGATATGAAATACTATTAAGCACAAATAGGTCAGCTTCTTTGTTAGCGAGTGAGAACTTTTACAGATGATGCTTTTGCTCTAAACTTGCACAATTCATAGAATCTCCTCTTCAGTATGACTGTTGCTTTTTGATGTGAGGTATTAGTTTGCATTGGTGACCCACTCAGCCTCACGAGACTTATATGGGAAAAACAAATGACAAAGACTGAATAGTAATTTCTTTTATTAGGGTGCTGTTTCTTAAATGATATGGGGGTATTCAAAAAGTTGTGCTCAGAGGCATTAAGCTGGCTTTCACTTTGCACAATTCAGTATTTATACAAGCTAAACCCTATCAGCATGTGATGTCAGCCAGCTGACATATGCATAGAACCCTATTAAAGATCCGATATCCTAATGTCTTGAACAAAAGGCATCTCCACAATATTTGGGAAGTTAGATTAATCTCACCTTGAAAAAAATCATTTTTTCTAGGCTTAAACGGCAGCTAACTGCAAAAAGATTGTGTGAGTTTAGCCACCTGCCCAAAATTTACAATGAAACATACTTTTTTCAACAAAAATAATTTTACAAAGATTGTATTGGTGAGAAGAATAGTTAAGATGAAAAATATGGGAGTAGTCTCTAGTGATAATAATTTTCAACCAAATAAGAACAAAACAGGAGAAAGGCAAAATCTCCTGGGACTTGCTTACCAGGAAAATGACTGTGCTAAGAGATCATTTTTACTTTTTTAGACATGGCCTGCAGCAATGAAACTGGAGTGAAGTGTTCGACTGCTATCAAAAAGCAAAGCTAGGTTCCATAAAGATCACAGAGATGAGTACACTCAGTTATCTAGTTTGCATAAAAATTTGGAAACATTGGAAATCCTTTCAAATGGAAAAGGCATATATGTGCATTAGGAAATTGACTGTTGTGATGGTAAAACTTAAGCCCTGAATTTTGATGATCTTTGACATTTATGTAAAGTAATCACATGGCTCTACAATATGTTTCAAGGTCATGAAATGCCTTACCAGGCAAACTGTGGCTTGGTTTTGCTGTTGCAGCATTGGAAGTAGAAGTGAACTTGCTTGTTTAGTCTGTAAGGCCATGGAAGAACCAGTGGAACGTGAAATCTAGACATAAATGCTCTGAGACAGAAAGCTTTTTATTTTTCTAATGGCTCTTGGCTCTCAAGAGCGATGGCCTTTCCTTTTATTGATCCTGGCCATGAAGGTTTCATGAGCATTGTTTATAACCTGACAGTTCAGACAGTGTTTGCTGCTACTCACTTTTATTATCGCACTTAAGTTCCCTGTGGGGTTTCTCTTTCAGGGTGGGGAACTGGTTTTGTTTTTTTTTTATTTGGCTGTCAAGAAAAGCTGTACATGGTGTCAGCACTTGTGCAGGACATCAAATTGCAAGACATCAAACGTAGCAGAAGGGAAGCATTAAGAATGCCCATTCGTACTTGCCTGCCTAAACAATGAGAGTCTGCACTTCTCTGGCTATACAAACTTAGTTTTTCTTCAAGTACCATCAATCTGCACTGTTCAAGGTACACTAATGTAGCTCTTCAATAAGTGCTTAGTGCGCAGTGTTGGCCTGAGTGGAATTTGCCATGTTTCAGTCATGTAGATACCCCGTTATGGGTTCAGGAATTTGTGGATGTCAAGTTTTTTGCTGACAGCTTCCTTCCCTAAACTCCCTGTTAAATTTGTTATCACCTCACCCACACTACGTTTTCACATGAAACCACAAAATTAGGGTGGAGGTCTCACCAACTATGCCAGAGGCTTGATCAGGCAGCCAGAACTTGTCTTGTTACTGGCTTGAGTCAAACGCTGCATTTTCTGACTATTCATTTTTGATGTCTGGCTGCCTAGTTCTCCAGAGCGTGCCTCCCTGTGCTGCTTTTGGGAAGTTCAAGGATGCAGACAGGCAAGTGGCAGGGAGCTGAAGTATTTGGACCATTCCTGGAGAGAGCGACCTGTGAGCCAGTGGTGTGGAAAGGTATGGGACCCTCCAGACCAGCTCTGCTTCCTTCAGTTTAGAAGACGAAACAAATCTGGGAAGTGAAGTCTCTTTTGCTGAAGAAAGGAGAGCAGCAGTCGGGGGAGAAGGAAAGAAATTTCTTTGGCACTGTGCACTATTACCCAGCAGAACTCCATCAAGCATGGTAGTATTCAGGCAAACAAGGCTGATATTCTAAAACATTGGATACTTATATAGATGCAGCTCGTTCCTTAGAAACCTACATTACTCTAGAGGTACTGAGAGGGGATTGGTGCTAGTTCTGCTACACAATGCTACGGAAGGCTATGATCATCCTCTGTAATGACCTGGGTTGTGGTGGAAAAAGACATAGCCTTGCTTTTAATCTTTTTGTGACCTCCTGGAGTTTAGTCCTCAGTCATTTTTCAGTATCAGTTTCTAATCAGTTACTTGAGCTACACAGCTGCACCCAGGCATTTTAATTCTGGGCCAGTCAAAGTTCATCTTTAACTGGCTGGCTGTCCCACAGACACTAGGCCATAAACTTATTGTCCTACAGTATTCAGTTCACAGGTGAAAAATTAAATGCATGCAAAATCTATT